ACCTCGGACACAAATTTCTGCACAGAGGTTTTTGAAGGGCATCCTGTACATGCACAAACACCTGAGAGTCTGAGAAGGGAGAGGTCTTGTTATTTTTTTTACAAAATTCAGGTGACAGCAAACTCGTACTGTCGGCTGCCACGTTTTTCCGTGATTTAACTTGGATCTAACTTATCTGAAAGCTCCTCAAATAGCAAAATCTCGGATGTCCCCGGTTTCGAACTCCATTCCTCAGTTGAAAATGGACAGTTAGCTTTCGAATACAACTCTCGACCATTTGATTTAAGTGGCCCAACCAATGGAGCCTATTCAGCATCAGGCTGCATCCAAGTCCACTGATCTTTATTCTTCGGAAGATTCCGGTGTTCGGTATTCGGTCCCCCCATTTGAACCAAACGGTCTTTCGCACACTGCGAACGAACTCAAGCGATAACCCAAACATGTCTTATGTATATCTTCCATGTCAGGATGTCGTGCAGTGGTGAAGAGAGCACAACAAACCAGCGCAGTGCATTTTCGGTACCTAGACGGAGGTGATTTCTAAAGACCCGTATCTCGCGGTGGCCGCATATCGTGCTGGCGTTCGTATTACATCCGTTTATTTCATTTCCAAATGTGGGCTCTTTGGATGCTGCCAGGACACCAGAGATCCCCGCAGCATGCTATCTCACGGTCGTTTCGCTAGATACTTGTTTTATTTTTAGTCCCCTGCACAACTTGACAAAAGACAAACATTTCATAAATATTTTGACTCGTGCTGAAGCTGAATGTCGCTGAACGGAACGCCGCATTCAGACGCTACGATTCCACTTCAGAATACATTAGCACACAGTTGTCTGAAAATGGCAGGACAGCCACCAGACTGGCGCGGAGCAGCCAGGAAGCGTCTGGAATAGAACACTCGGCTGTGCAATTTTTACTGGGATCGTGGTTGTTATATAAGGGCTGAATAGGGCTGAGACAAGAACTCAAGCGTGTCTCATTTCGATATGAATTTCTCACTCGTTCATACAGCTTCGCAGGTCCACAGCCGGCGGTCCCGCCAAGTTGTGAGGGTTTGATGAGGTTGAACAATTCGTACGGACAAAATTTTGTAAGGTGGTTTGCTTCTCCTTGACGCGGTCTAAGGCACCGGCGAAGATTAGCGAACAGCCGATTGATCGGTTAGTTCCGTTCACTGTGTTTCTTTTGGATTTGTCTTACAGCAAAAATTAAGTGAATCTTATTTTGACCGACTCGAAATACACTCTGCTCTTCGTAGATGCTTCCGTCCAGAATACTCGAGACTGATCAATACAACAGGGTAACAAGTATGAGCACGTATCCTGTGCAGAGGAGATTTATCCCGTGCCACACTGACTTCTCTGCCATTTACGAAGAGGAATTATCGTTGCATCACTGGAGTTTTTTGAAATGTGTATCACCTTCCACATTGTTATAGGAGGTACAGAAAGTCGTTCTGTAGTACTGGTCGTTCCAGACTGAACTGTTACGCAGCCAAGCTGTTCACTCCCGCTGCTGTTCCACTTTTCATCTGGATTATGACCGTCTACAGTTCTGCTGCTGTATGCCAGCCGTGTAAGTGTTTACCAGACGTGAAAATTCAGATACGTGCAACGTGCGTTGGTGGAGTAGCGGTTACACGCTCGCCTCGCATGTCAGATGTCCGGGGTTCAAATCCCGGCACAGCCATTGGATATGCACCGCTGATGAGCTCTAATAAGAGCGAAACTCGAGTCCAGTGCTTCCCTTTGGTGTGGACTCACCAGAATAATTACGCCAGAAAAGGAGGACGACCGTTCGAACGAGAGTGGAGAGAGTATGAACAAAAATACCAATGCCGCAAAACCCCAAAACTATTTACCATATGTTGGTAGGTGAAGTCTCGAATTCACACCTATCCCAACGGTCCAACAGTCTAATAGGATTGACGTTTCCCAGTTTCAGTGACTGTACTATTTAACTATGTCATCGGTTTTCTCGTCCTGTTATTAAGATTTCGTCTCACAGATATTCACTCCAGCAAAAAAATTCTTGTGAGTAGAACACCCACAAACGAAAGAAGCTTCTCATTTCGTTCAGTCCAGCGTTCTTTTGTTTTGTTTTTCAAAGGTATTTCGGAAGCTTTGTCATGAGGTCTGTAAGTGGTATTCGTTGATCTAGGATTTCTCATTAAGACCAGATTCCGGTGCTGTCTCTCGTTCCTTCATTTTTCTCACATTCAACTTGAATTAGCTTAGTCCGGGTCTTCAGAGTGTGACGGTGATCATTCGGTACACACCCAGAAGTGATCCACACCGCATTCAGCTCCATGAATTTTTTCGAGATCACCGCATTACTAAAACCACTTCACGACACAATGACATAGTTGGTTAGGCAGTCAGGTCAAATACTTGGTCAGGTCCAAGCCAAAGTATATATATTTTTCTCGAACTTTCAGTGCTGCTTAAACCTTTAGTTCCCTTCCACGGGTTGTGATTCCTAATGGGTCACGTATATTCTTCCAGATTTCCGAACGCTCACCAGAATGAGAAAAGAAACCCCCTAACAAGCTAAATGAAGTACTATCGCAGGGACAGACAGGTCAGATAGGTTAAAGATTCCGCTCTCCGGCAGAAAATAACAGTGGTTCTAATCTGACTCAGTTTATTGTATGTATTGTCACTCCAAGACACCGCATAAAGGACCACTGACAGAGTACAGTCTGAACGCTCTGAATGCGCTTTGAATGAGAGATGACGTAGATTCGGCCATGTCACACAAATCCGGGTGCTATATCCATTGATCCTAAAGGGGAGCTTTTGAGTACTTCTGAGTCTCTGAGACATTCATAAACTGTTCACTAAGGGACGCAGCTGAGATCCTCTCTGAACACAGAGAAATCTCTTCATTACCAATACCCACAATTACTGGCAAACGTGATGGATCCCGTACGTTTCCGCACTTTCCAAAAGACTACACGATACATTTCAGTTTGTTGAACCTACAAGGCAGACCACTTCTCTATTTTACTAATGAAGGAACAAGTGTACCCATAATTCTATTGTATTCTATTCTATTCCATTGAAGAAACCCTGTGCGTCATACTTAACGTAAAAATCCCGTTTAACTCAGCTTTTTAACGACAAGCTGGTAGATTCTTTGAGAGATCTTCAGTGAGTCTGACATTGAGTGCGTTCTTTATGGATGAGCTCGAAAACGGCAGACTTAAACACACTATTGAGCACTTAAATTTAGCCAGTGTATGTGAGTGGTCTTCTACCAAATGTGTACAATAGGGGAGGGATTATTCTCTGCTACGAAATTCAGCTGGGCTGGTTCATTCATGTGGTTCACTTTTGTGTCACGTTATGTCTCTTAGCTCCTGGATGTTTCTTCATAACGGCGAAGTGACAATTCACCACAGAGGCAACACCACAAAAACGCCAGACAGAATTCCCACGCGAGGGGTGTGTGATTTGTTACGTGGTCTCACGAATCAGGCTGTACGAACTAGTTCTATTGATACTGCTGACTTGCAGCTGGTCCGTACAGCTAGAAACACAAGAAACATGGTGCACCTGGCTGTCAAGACGGTAAAAAATAAGTCCGTTTATGTGAGTATATCATTTAAAAGTACATCCCTGGCGCCTACATGGCACCAGCTACCCCGTGACTCCGCTTCACTGTGAACAAAGTTTTCCAATTAAAATAGCAAGACGCGATTTCTATAAACGCCCATTCCATGACCGTTCCTTCTTCTTCTCGTTAGTTTGTGGTAGAATGTTGGATGACACGGCTTAATTGTGAGAACGCGAGAGTGACGCTGATAGGAGGATTCCAGTCCACTGGGGTATAACATAATTATGGTGGTAGTCAAGTAGTACATACAAAGCTATGACACAAGGAGTTTTCCATGATTGGCATACCAACCCTTATTAACGTGTCCCTGATGTAATCTGTACTTGTAGCCAAGTGTTCCGGTTTGAACTATGCTACACGATAGGTGGGTAGTTCAAAGTGTGTGAAAAGAGTTATGTCACCGATTCCTTTTTCTGATTAGAAGTGATTGGGATTTGCGAACGAGGATCTCGCCGGTGACAGTCAGTAAATTAAAATACAGAGGAAAGTCGGTGTATACTACTGCAGGATGTTTACATTTTGGTCGAGTATGTGCTCCGAATAGTTGGTGGGCGGACTTAGTGGGCAGCAATAAAGCTCCAGTAAACCTGGAACTAAAAGCTGCGGGAGAGTGATGGCTGGCTCACTGGAAACGGGGTCCTTTGTGCTTATCAGGCTAGGACTTTTTTTTACATAAATTTGGTTTAATTGACGGTCACGTGTGAATGATGAGTTCAGGCTAGTCAGATAACGACAGTTTACCATGTGCAACCTCATAGCTTATATGAGGGCTACTACAAGAAACAGCTTCTGTCGCACATTTTCTGTTCAGCAAAAGTCCCAAAACGCTTGGAACAATCTGTCTGTGATGCTTTGCTAGGTGTAGTTTAGGTGAACAGACTGGACTCGCTGGTCCTGCTGCCAAGAGGAATAACAACTTCTAGACTGCAGATTGACAGTCACCTGTGGCGGGCTAAAAACCAAAGATAGGTTTGGTAGGTCCTTGGTCAGGTGATATATGTTCTTGCATGATTTTTGTTTGTTTATCGAAAAGCGACATTTCAGACGAAATTCCTGTTGTAAACAACATGAGAGGCCAGATACCACTGACAGCCACAGATGGCTGTGACAGATATATCATGTCTCCTCATCCGTTAATGCTTTGCAAACTGCGTCAGTGGGCCTATCGATTGCCTTGCGCCGAATACACTGTTGCGGTTGAAAGTTTCCTAGCGGAAGGGTGAGTAACGCCCACGCAATAAGCCATGTTCATTTGCCAGAACCTCTACCGTCCGTCCTGATTGGTCCGTTTATTTAGGCACTGTTGTGGCAACAGGAACTCGACAGTCCTCCTCTTTTTTCTTTAGGTTTCCCTTCTGATCAAAGCAACAACCAGCATACCGAACTATTCCGAAACGGTTCCACCAAATCGGTTCAATAGCCCACATTGCGACCGATCGATCACTTGTAGCCGAAACACGGGTTGGCGGAAGTCTGGAGGGCCAAACGGGGTTCGATTGGTTTCGAAACCAACCCGTTTCGCTTTGTGTCTGCACATAGTGAACAGACCCAACTCGCCGGAAATTTAATTCCCGATTATCCTTCTACTCAAATGTGTGTCGCACTCGGAACCTCTGTCGGCTCCGAATTATCATGACGGAGGAGGTATTGGGCAAACAGAAACGGAGCCGTTTTTGGAAACTTTATTTCCACGAGTTCTTTGTTTCTGAATTTTCGTGGAAAAGTTTCGGATGTAGCCACGACAGACCGGATGACTTCATCGATTCCCAGGTAGGTGGATTGCTTGGTTTTCTGTTTTTACGTCCTATTCATTATGAAATTTGTTCACCTTGTGACTGTAAATGCTCTTTCAGGTATGATAATACACTCAGTCATCACTCTAGATTTAGCCTATCCTAACAACTATGCACTGCTATGGCAGGAAAATAAAATTACCTACTCAGCATTGGTCGAAAGTTGGAAGCATGGTTACTTCGAGCAAAAGCTTCGGTCGGACTTGAAGTGAATGGTTTAATGAGTGAATGAGTTTCTTCTGGAGTGTGTGTGGTTCAGTGAGGTCGGATGGGTGCAAAACTACATTTTAGGGGTGAAAAGATTTGTTGTTTCTCTAAGCAATCAAATGAACTTACAAACCTAAAAAAAAAGCTAATGCCGAATAATACTCTCTAAGCAATCAAATGAACTTACAAACCTAAAAAAAAAGCTAATGCGCGAATAATACGTCAGAGAGAAATATGTGTTAAGTGAGATGGACCACATGTCTTTTCACTGAAAGTGGACTCGTACAAAAAGGCGATCAACCCGACTTTTGGAAGTCACACGGGGTACTTCAAGGTCCAGCACGAACAGACTGGGTCACCCTCGTGTAGAAGAAGACTATGTGAGTCGCAACAGTTGCTGTCCCGAAAGCTCTAGTAAAACTGAAGTAATGAATTATTTACCCCATACTGTATGGATATGGAGTGACTTACCAGATTCTAAGTACGCAAAGCTGTCAAAGATTAAGTGCAGAGCGGTAACGCAAGATCTGTGCACCAAATAACTGAAACGCCACATCCTTTTTACAGTCGCCTTGTCATTTCTCAAAGGCAAATTTGTGGCGCATTGTTGCGGATTTTAGGTAGAGAGTGTGCGCTGCATGTTTGTTTGTATGTTCGCCAGGCTTAGCAGTTGGACTGCAAATATTTCATTGCCAACCTAAATAACATGGTCAGTAGGGGGTTTGACCCAGCGAAAGGGACAACGAATGAATCAGTTTTTATTTTTGGTATACATGTGCGTGTATAGCTAACGGATATGTTTTCATAAACAAGATTCGTTTCGTAACAAACAAGAAAATGCTAACAACGGGGTGGGAAACAAGTGTCAGTTAAGCGCGACTGATCCGATTTTATGCCATCTAACTGGAGTTCACCAGCATTGTTTGGATTTCTAGTATATCAAAGACTGTCAATAATGCATTTTCTAGCCTAGATGAAACTGAAAAAGTGTACAACAGCATTAGACAGAGAGTTCTGAAGAATCTCGAAGAGAAACCAGCGCTTGTTCGCTGAGCTGAGCGGTAGCGCTACGCACTACTACGTTCCACAATAACGCACTGATGAAGTCACCTCGATTGGTGATGAAACGTTTGCAATTAAATTGCCCAGCTCAGCGAACAAGCCAACGACCACCATCTACGCTACCTGAGCTACCAACATTTTCCTCTATAGAAAGAGACCAGTGCTCACATAACCTAGACACGTCATTTGTGTAACCGGTTACCAGCTTCTCCAAGTTAACTTGCAGGTGAATGATTTGAAAACTGTGTGGCGGGTTATTTTGAAAAGAACAGAAATACTAATCATACTTAAAATCATCTGTTTGATTTTTTACGGGTGAATTAGAGTGTTTCAATCAAAGCTTGTTTCTGTGAACGTAAATCAGCTAAGCTAAACTACGCAGTTATATGCGTCTTCAAATGCAATCCAATTAGTTCGATCGGAAAACTCAATTCCCCACCAATGAAATCCCCATGGTGACGAATAAAAGATTCCTCCAGGACTACTTCATCCATTTCCTCAGCTTCTCAACAGGCACCTCCGATGTTGAAGTTGGGTTTATCGCCCCGTTTTTTTTCTCACAAAGGATGTTTTATTTTTTGCTTTCTGCGCACAAAAATTTGAATGCTCACGTTTCGTCTAATATGTTATCATGGTGCTGATGAAGGAATTCTTCTGTTATACCATACAATAAGTGAATGTAGGAACTAACGGTTATTTCTTTGCAGCATGCTATCCATGATATTTTATGGTGCGAAACACCCCACTTATCAGGTATAGTCCACTCAGAGTTCTGCGGAGAAGTGAAGATTTGCCTGGTTTGCTGAAACTTCTATTTGATGCTTGAATTGTTCTCAGATTTTTGTGCGCGACCAAACAAAGTCCCCCTCTAACTAACGGTCATTTGCCCGCCAGATCATTCCCTTGTACGACCATATGCATCAGCGTTGGTAAAGTTTCACGATGTGGGCTACAAACTATTCTTTTCCGAACGCATTACTCAAAAGGCTTCCGAAAATTCGTCGATAGCCTACGACTCGTTTCGCTTTTCTTGAGACTAGTCAGGTTGTCCCAGACTCGAGTTTTCGTTAATCTTATATTCTACTTGAAACCAAATTGTAGTGTGTTCCGAAGAAAAAATGGGCTGAGATGTCCAAAACAACCTTTTAACAGCACATTCAGCTGAAAAATCTCATAAACCAGAGATTCAGCTGGGATTCACTTGAGTCTTAGCTTGAAAACTAAATATTACTAAGCGTTACCTCATATGACAGAACAGGGTTGTTTTCCTAATGTTGTATCGGAGAACAATTAATCTACGAATTTTATACTACTAATCATGATTTACCACCAAATGAACACGAACGAGCAACTAGAGAATGTTATTCGTCACAGAACAGACCAAGTGGTTTAAAAAACTAAAGGTATTGTTCGATAGACAGTCGACCATAGGCTTTTGAGTACGATCCACCGAGGTTCATCCTGGATAGTCGCAAAATATAAGTGCCCAAGACACCAAAATGTTTGCACGAAATACCATAGTGCCCCAGCGTAACCTGCGTCATTCGATGGACAGGCGCTTCCTTGTTTTTCATTACAAGACCAAGGGCACCGGTAATAGGCCAACAGTGCGCTTTGAGAAAAGAGCGCTTCTATTTAACCGTACGGGTAGTCGAAGCTTAACAATATCGTGTTTTTGAACACCAGGCCATGAAGAGCTGTGGGGCTTTATCTCTGTTGTCAAAACCAGCACAAAATGAAGATGACAATACTTCTGTTATACTGTTCTGTTTAATTTAGACTAATTCTATAGGTTAATACAACTGAATTACAGTTCAGCATCTTCCAGGCCACAAGAAATTTGAAGATGTACTTGGAAATACGTAGCTAACCCATTAAGCTAAAGCATGAGCGAGTCAGACAAATGAATTTATCACAGTGGCTTTTTCATACCAAGAACTCACATTTTTTGTAGGACTTCTCGCCTCATTACATGATCTAACAACAATCCAAGTGTCTTGACAAAAATCTGACATGAGGCCAAGGATGGCAAGACTTCTGGCATGTATCCCAAAGTTTTGAATACATCCCCCCAGAACACACTGCCCTTACATAGGTCCACCTTCAGATTTCCATCAAGACTACTTGAGACTTTGCCAACTCACTCTTATAGGTGCCCTGAGATATCATGTAAAAATATCCGGTAATTTTAGCACAGAAATGATCCACAGACTTTTATGTAAAAGTGGGAATTTTCGTAACGTCTGCCCTGTTTGGTGTGTTGATCTTCGAAATGTCTACTTTACGGTGCATAATTCTGAGCTCAATGCAATGGTGCAGTGGGCCAGATAAATCACGGTATGAATCTGGATTCTTTCTCTATTTCCGGAAATCACTGGTTATTATGCAAGCGGCAAATCGGCACACTCATAACACATTCGGGGAAGACTTTTCTCGGAAGATACGCCAATTTTAGGACTTATCCTAATTTTTTTTATCATATTAGCATATTACGCTGTTTGGCATTGTTAACTGACGAGGCACTCGTAAAATGCGTCACGCCTTTTGATGTGATCTCAAAATATTTAGGCCCGGCCGAAATGGTAAGATCGCATATTGTCGTTCTGACCGCCTTAGAGCACCGTTTCTCAAAATACCCAAGAGAACGTGAGGCTTTTTTCTCGGAGAACTCATTGTCCAGTGAATCATCTAAGGTTTTTCCATCCACAAAATATGGTTAAAATGGTTGAAATATCTCCACAGATACAGCACATTACAGTTTTTTCTGAAGTTCAGGCTTGGGTTAAACCTAACAATTTCGAGTAGCTCATCACCCATTTATATACATTCAGAATAAAGGCCAGAGCAGGATAAGGATGAGATACCTTGACAGACACACGCGGGCGGAAACACTACCGCTTACAGAGGTCAACAGGCCACGGATCATGTTTTCTGAAGGACTAGAATTGTAGACACGATTCACTGTTGGCGAAGCAGAGTTTGATATAAATGCCAGTCGCTTACATAAGATGAGTTTCTAGCTTTGAATTGCCTCCACTTAAGCAAAGCGCATTAGAAATCGAAATATTTCAGCTGTAGCATGCTTGCGGTACCTAGTTGCTATGCCACCCAAAGGAAGCACGAGGACTAGGATAAAGCCAGTTGCCCAAGCCTAAACCGGAGCATTCGAGATGCAGAGGTTGGGTTCAAACCACGGGCCTCATGATCAGTAAATCCGCTGCCCACTGGGTCATCTTAAACCCAAGCTCAATAGAGGTTGTTCCTCAGGAAGTACGTGACTTTAAATAAATGTTTCTGTCCTTCACTGCCGGTGCAATCCATCAAGTGGCGAGCGGTCGCTCCGAACGGAAGCTTCAGGCCGTTAAGTGCTAGCTTCCTTGGAATGTGCTTAGAAATCCTTGCAGATAATCTTCTGTCGGTTATTTGGACGTACCTGCAACAAGGGTACACTCAACAGTAATTTCTGTTTTTAGATTGATTTTTGTTAACATATGTCGTTTTGTCAAGCAATACTAAGGTAGAGATGTTAAATGCCCTTCAACATTGGCATTTAAATTGAAGACACGGTCCTAACTAGACAGCAGCTAATGGCCATCCAGATAGAGTCAAAACCAACAACTTGGTCTTGGGATCTGTCAAACCAACAATAATGTTCGTTGTAGAGAGGTCAGTATATTTGGGTCAACTATACAGAGAAAACCTGGTGGC